AATAAAACTAACTAAAAATCTAAAACGCATAGACATTTTGATGTAGCGTTTTTTATGAGATTGCTAAGGAACTCTCAATGAGGCTCTCAAGAAATTCCCAGGGTGCCTTGTGGTATACGCATTAATTTTAGGAAGCATTATATACTGATTTTTTATTGGAAAAAAGACTAAAATATCCTTAAAAATGCTAAAAGACAGATTAGGGTGGGTGATTTTCAAAATTCCAAATCAAACCTCTTATACCATTTTGAAAATTTAGAATATTATAAAATAACAACATTGTCCTTACTCCCAGTGACTTCTTTTACATAACTATTAACTACTCTAGTTTAATTATTAATCACTTTTGTTTTCAAAGTTCTAGTTACTACTTCTGCATAACCATTAGCTATACAAGAGTCGTAGATAACTAAACAAAAAGTAGTTATTAGATCTCCAACAATACTTAATGCAATTTTTTTTTTAATTTTTGGAACAAAGTAGTCAATAACGAAACTAGAGTAGTCAATAGCTAAATAAGAGTAATCACCAAATTTTTTAAAATAAAAGTATTCAATCACAATACCAAAGTAGTCAATAGCTAAAAAAGAATAGTCATTGGAGTTAAAAATAAATGTAGTTGAGTAGTCATTGGAGTTAAAAATAAATGTAGTCAATAACTAAAAAAAAATAGTCAATATATAAGAAAGTAATCATCAGAGCTCTAGTGAGTAGTCACTGGAGTTCTAGTGGTATGCCGCCAACTCTAGTCTGGCGTTGGTGGACGGAAACCAGCCAAGGGTGCTAAGGTGGTCATTTCTTTTAAAAGAAAAAAATAGTGAAGGGCATTTATGTAATTTTATAAGATTTGAAAATTCCAAAATAGTAATAATGATCTAAATTGAGATTTTAAAATTTATCCACACTGATTTGTCTTTTAACAATTTATAGGGTATTTTACTGTCTTTTTCTTTTTTTATTTGTCATCCTTCACCAAATAGAAAAAATTTGCATACTCACAGAAAGGTCAAACTCAACCTCTTACTTAAGCTAAAATCTAAGAAAGTGTCTGATATCATTTGAGCCAAATAACGCACATTATATAATTGGTGTATTGAATTAACATAGTTTCATCCTCTATTTTAATAAAATTTAATTATTTTTCCAAGTTACAATTTCAAAATTTAATTTCTACGTAATTACCTACTTACTCTTTATGAGTTATATTTCAAAGAGAAGGTTGGAGTTTTCTTTGATTTTATGGTACAAGCTTATACATTCATGACATATGTGTGCGTCCTTCTTCCATGCTGAGATAAATAATAATTTAAAATTTCACAAAAGAATAGAAGAAAATTACGTTTTTAGTCATTTAGCTTTAGACATAAAAGGTTTCATTTCAATCTCTTAATTTTATAAACAATATTCTCAATAATGTTCTTAACAAAAAATGTTAATATTAAAATTTTAAATATTAACAAAATATTATTGAATGCTACTCCTCTGTTCCTTAATATAAGATCTAATTAATTAATTTGAGTAAATTAATGATATTAGTTAAATTAGTTAATATGATATAATTTTTTCTTAAAACATTCTAATTATTTTCTTTAATCTCTTCCCCCTCTCTCTCCTACTTGATGATTATTGAGGGAATATGAATAGGGTAAATTTGAAAAAAATTGATAAACATGTGAAATAAGTCTTACATGCAAGACCAATATCAACTCTTAAATTAGGTCATACATTAAAGATCAAAATAGTAATATGTTAAGTTTGATTTTAAAAAGTAGTAAATATTGGCACGAAAAGTCTTGTTTAAAGTTCATAATATTAAGGTTAGAAGATTTGAAAAGATACTTAATAAAATTAATGAACAAAACTAGATACACTTATATATTTTTCTTCCTAATTTGTTAGCCATGCTGAAATGGCTTGAACAAATTGAAGGTTTTAAAACCTATGAACTGCAGCTCTATTGCTAACATGCCAATACAACTGATTTTATTATGAATATTACCTTTTTTTTTTTGGACTCAGATCTTATTATGAATAGTTCAACCGCATCATTTTTGCAGCCCAAAGCATCTATACATATACATGGCCTTGTTGATAGTTTGATCTACAAATATATGTGATTCTGTTAACTGTGAATGTAATCTCCCAACTCAAAAGTAATTTAACATTTGCGGAAAAAAAGAAAAGTCATTGTGAAATATTCTTAGTTTAATATGATATGTTCACCTCAGAGTAATTGTAGCCTGGAAGTCGCAAGCTTCCACTAAATAGAAGCATCAGAAGATTTTCAAAGTATTACAATTTCCAATAAAAAGAACAGACACGAGAACTCTTAATTAAACGACGAACATCATCTGCGATATTTATTTTCCACTTATTCTTGGAGGGTAAGGAACTCCCATGATGACCCTACAATCAATATATATCCCACGCAGATCAGAAAAACAGAAAGGGAAAATGACAATAAAATACCACCTGAATTCCAAAAAGACAAATAAGGGACCTGAATAAGCAAAATGACATATAGGGGACTGGGTACCAATCTGGAATTCAGATTTTTGGCCAAAAGACCAAAATACCCTGTCTGAAAGTGAGAGAAAGGAGAGAGGAAGAAAGCGACGCAGTGAGAGAAAGGAGAGAGGAAGACCGACGGTGATGAAATGCGGGAAGAAGGAAAGAAGAATGTTGGAAATGCTATTATCTTACTCCTTCGCATCACCATTCTGTAGAGATTATTGATTTGGTGGGTTTTGGTTGTGGGAAAGAGGATTTGTAGTGAGAGAGGGAGTGAACTTGCGGGGAAGATGAAGTGGAAATCAGAAAACAATGACAAGCAATTACGTTACGTAACTGCTGTCATATGCCTGCTGGTTTTTGGTAAATCCCACTACGTGAATGGTAAATCCCACTATGTGAATGGTAAATTTTATTATACATGTAGTTAATTATGAATTTTACAAAATACATATTGTGATTTACAACTTTTGTAGTGAAAGTGACTACTTTGTTAATGGGTTTTGCAACCTGTTTTTAGGAGATAAATAACTTGTTTGTAAAAACTAATAAAATTTCACGCTAAATTTGACAAAACGTATAGTGGGATTTACAACTTCCGTAGTAAAAATGACCACTTATTCAATGGGTTTTGTAACTTGTTTTCAGGAGATGGGCAGTTTGTTTCTAAAAACTAATAAAATTTCATATTAAATTTGACAAAACACATAGTGAGATTTACAACTTTCGTAGTAAAAATGATCACTTCTTTAATGGGTTTTGTAACATGTTTTCAAGGGATTGGCAAATTGTTTCTAAAAACCAATAAAATTCTATGCTGAATTTTACAAAACATAGAGTAATATTTACAACTTTTGTAGTGAAAATTACCACTTCTTAAATGAATTTTGCAACTTCTTTTCAGGGGATGAGCAACTTGTTTCTAAAAATCAATAAAATTTCACGCTGAATTTGACAAAACACATAGTGAGATTTACAACTTTCATAATGAAAATGATCACTTCTTCAATGGGTTTTGCAACATGTTTTCAAGGGATTGGCAACTTGTTTATAAAAACCAATAAAATTATATGTTGAATTTTACAAAACATGTAGTGAGATTTACAACTTTCTTAGTGAAAATGATCACTTCTTAAATGGGTTTTGCAACCTCTTTTTAGGGGATGAGCAACTTGTTTCTAAAAACCAATAAAATTTCACATTGAATTTTACAAAACACACAGTGAGATTTACAACTTTTATAGTGAAAATGACTACTTCTTAAATGGCTTTTGTAACCTGTTTTCAGGGGATAGGTAACTTGTTTCTAAAAACCAATAAAATTTCACGTTGAATTTTATAAAACATATGCTGGGATTTACAACTTTTGTGATAAAAGTGACCGCTTTGTTAATAGATTTTGCAATATATTTTCGGGGGATGAGTAACTTACTTTTCACCACCAATAAAATTTCACGCTGAATTTTACAAAACACATAATGGGATTTACAACTTTTATAGTGAAAGTGACCACTTCTTCAATGGGTTTTGTAAACCTGTTTTCACCGGAAGAGCAACTTGTAAGCATAAATAAATCATTCAGTGAACGTGCACCTGAAGTACATCACAATAAACATTGAACTATTAAGTTTCATAATTAACTACATGTATATTAAAATTTACCATTCACGGAATGGGATTTACCATTCACGGAATGGGATTTACCAAAAACCAGCAAACATATGACAGCAATTACATTACGTAATTGCTTGCGACTATTTTCTGATTTCTGCTTCATCATTCACCAAATACTGAATATGAACCCTCAAATGCAATAATCCTGTTCCTATTTCACCATGAAACAGCCACAAAAATGAATAATCCAAATCCCGCCATCAACTTCTACTCACTCATGAATAATTCAAATACTTCAGCGACCTCTTCGACGACGACAATTTCAGGGGGTACAAGTTATTTCAGACAGGGCAATGTATTTCAGCGATGGTAACCAAATTCAGCGATGGCAATCTACTCCTACGACGACGGCAACGTGATTTCGAAAAATCCTTTTTGGTAACTGCAGGAACTTGGATTTAGTTTCGTAGAAGGAAATCAGTTTCTCCCTTTCTCTATCGCATGAATACACTGCTCAATGTTCAGAGACAATCAGGGCAATTCGGTCTTTTGGCCGAAAATCTATATTCCAAATTGGTACCCAGTGCCCTATTTGTCATTTTGCTTATTCAGGTCCCTTATTTGTCTTTTTGGAATTCAGGTGGTATTTTATTGTCATTTTCCCAAACAGAAACTTGTTGAAAAATAAGATTAAAGGAACTAAATAATGACGAAATAATTAACTAGATGACTCATTCAGTTTATTATTTCTCCCAGATCAAACGAGACTTGATGACTTAAGAACAACTAATTATATCTACTAAAGTCTTAAAATCTTGTGGAGCTTTTCCGTCTGCCCCGGAAGTAATTTTGCATTGTCCTTTTCAACTTCAGGGCATTTTCCCTGATTTTCTCACCTTCTTCCTCAACCAAAATCAGATTCAAGCTTCGAATCAATCCATTTTCAGTGAAAACCTACCTTCTATTTAAACGCCAACTTTCCATAAATCCACCACTGCTCTTGCAGCCATTCCATGATCTCCAAAGAAAGGCCTACAAATCCTCGGCTCACCGTTGGTCATGCCCTCAATCACTGAGCTACTTCCATAATGGGTCACAAACACTCCTACAGATCCATGTGCTAAAACCTGAGCCTCAGGAGCCCGAGGAACTATTTTCCCTCTTTTGCTTGTCCTGTCAACAAACCCATGTGGCAACAGACACTTTTGATCATCCTTTAAAGACCATAGAAATGGAAGCCCACTAGCTTCCAGTGCATCTCAAACTTGTAGAAGCTCATGATGGGGAACGGGAACAACAGTTCCAAAGCTAAGATAAGCCACTGATCTAGAACCATGCGGATCCAACCATCGCAAGCAACAATTGGTGTCAGTATGGGATTGTGACACACGACCAACGTCAAGCAGTGACTTGAATTTGGACATCATCTCCAGAACAAAGAGAGGAGAGTCTAATTCCTCGTAGAAAAACATAACCACTGATCTTGCTTGAGGTAGCAATCCCATAGAAGTTAGTATTTTACTAAATACTGTCTCTTTATGTTCTTCGCCGGTTTTGAGTGAGAAATCATGTGGTAAATCCTCAACTCAAGCGGGACAAAACAGGAAGGAAATCCAAGGATGTGTTTGTGCGTGGTTCATGAGAATCACTGAACTTGTGGCGTATTAAGTGGAGTGTAGAGATGAGGAGAGACTGAGATTGAAAGTGCGCGCAGGCCAACATTCAACCCAAGGGACATTGAGTTTATAAGACAAAGAAAGAGAAGGACTACTCATAAAAGTGTCAGAAACAATAATGCAAGTGACTCTCAGGTTTGTGCTTTTCACTGCCAAATCTATAGCCTGTTCAAGGTTCTCGAGACTGGCCTGAAGAAACAAGTCCACCAGAACTGGAACAGGCAGGAACGTGCCTGGCACGTGATCCTCTGGAGCTCCATCGGACACATTGTAGGGTTTGATGTTGTGTGGGATGTTTGGTTGGTCGGAGAAGAGAGACTGGTTTGATTTTGCAGTGTTGATGAAGGAGAAAGTGACATTGGAGCAGCAGAAGCTAATCTGATAGCCTGGTTCAGAAGAGCCATAGGGTGGCTCGCAAAGGGGAAGGCAATCAGTACAACGTGTTTATTCTCATCACATAATCAGTTGCCATGTTTAGTTCGGATAAGCCACAAGAAACGAAGGTAAAGGCACGCCCACGCGCACACACTCACAGTTTGGGAGCTTGTAAAATGTGAAGATAAATGTACGATGTTCAATAATATATAGAGAAGATGTGTATATGTGTGTTGATGAAAAGATTTGTCACAATTTTGTTCTGTATCTTGAGGTACAAATTTAAAGTTGTGGCTACACGTATTGTCCCCTTTGTTACCTGAACGGTCTGCGTCAAGACAATGAAAATCATCATGAGTTTACGTTTTTATTTTCTAAGCACAATCCTTCAAATATCTATGTTTTATTTTTTGCCATCAAGCTAGTCTTCTAACATTCCTATATTTCGAGGGAAAAAAACAACCGAAAAAGTCTGAATTCTACTAAGAACATGCCTAGATCCACATTCTTCAATGCATTGCACATAATATGAAAAACAAGCTATCCACTCATTATGAATTTTTTTTTAGGTACAAATATCTTTCTATTGAAAGTAATCATATTCAAGGCTTTGTTAGGCATTTATTATGATGTTGCCGTTTTGCTTAATTCTGATACACTTTGGGCCGCGGTCAACTTTCTTTTGGTTGTAGAAGGAGAGGCTTTATTTCTTGCGAATAACGCCTCTTAGCCACGTTTGGATTGATCATTGGGCCTCGGAGGGTGACGTTGGGCTATACTTTGGGTTCCAAGGCTGACCCGAGATGATTTTGAGTCCAGGTAAGTGCTAAAGGTTCAGAAAGAAAAAAGTCTAGGATCATGATGGGAGATTGTAACTCTCCAAGTGGAATTTTTTCCTTTCTGACCTCTTTATGTAAATATATATATTCTGGCCAAAAAAAAAATCATGATAAATATAATTGTCTAACACACCCTAAAATATTTTATGGTGCAATTTTTGTGTTTAAAGTATTAATTTTTTCAAGAGAAATTGTGCCATTGAAATATTCTTTCAGGAGCAATTTTAATGTCAAAATTAATTCCTCAAATAGTATGTTAAATGAATATGCATCAAACACCCTAATCAAAGTAGACACTCCAAAAAAAAGTAATTTAGGGTGTTGGATTGGATGAACTATAAAATACTTTAGTGTGTTGGACACACTCAAAAAAATATTTCAGGTGCCGAATAAATCATAAAATATTTTAAGATATTGGCGTATCCTATAGTATGCTGAATGAACAATAACACCCCACTCCACACACATATCTGTGAAGTTGCAAGAGTAATATGGCTCTAGGTGTTAAAGAATAATTATATAGACTGATTTTTGGATTACCTCCTATGGGCAGAAAATTAAATGGCGAAACAGGGAAATCAATAGTTCACTGATGGAAAAAGATACAGATTATGGAATCTGCATGCTTTTATATACATCAATATGATAGCTCGCATATATACTTGAAGATATTGAAGAACAAGATTGGTATTGTTGTTGGGTAAAGAGACGTGTTATTCTTTATTGTTATGTCCAATATAGAGCCAAATGCATAAATTTCTTGGGGCTCACCATTATAAGTGAGACTGCTCGCTAACCTAGTAACCTTTGTGTTTCCATTTTTCCACGTGCAGGGAGAGAAACAGAAGCATATTTATATCCCTCATGTTGGAGAATAATGAATTATATATTGATTATGTATTTTCCCTCAACTTATCAGGCAATAATGCTTTACACACACACACAAAGGGTGCCTTTTTTATCTGTATATTGGCTGATATATATATATATATCGAATTAATTTGACAAAATATTTTACTATATATTATATACAAATTGTTTATTCTTATTAATAACATCAAATCTTATTTTATCTTAATTTCTAAATTAATTTTCTTAATATTTATAGGACAATACTTACATCAAGTTCCTTATGCCTATTATATTAAGTTTTCCAATTATACATAACTATGTGTCTTATTTTTAAAATATTAGCATTTAATAACATTTAATTATAAATCCACATAAAACCAAAAAAAAAAAAAACACAGCCAAGTATGATGGGAGAACTCGACATAATAGATAGCAACTTGACATAAGTTTTTTTTTTTTCATGTTTATATCTAAAATAAAATATCTTAACATACGGTTCGATCTGCAAATCGATAAAAAAAATTTCAATCATTGAAGTTAATATCAGCTATGGATGAATATGTACTAATAAATCTGTGGAATTTTTTTTGTCTGAAAATTTTTAATAGATTTGAGGCCACAGAAACAAATAACAATCCCAAATTCTGTCACAAACCTCGAATTGGTCATCCAACAAATATTCATCACTTCTTGCTCTTAGGCTGATGAGAAGAATTAGGGAGCCAAAAAGAAAAATAAAAAGGAAGCATCCTTTTGGTGGGTCCCGAACTTCCAAGATATTAATAAACTGCAGTGGGATTCCATAGATAAATAATTGATCAGCAAAGATTATTCCAAAATTGATTAGCCAAGAATGTGACATCAACAAGAGATGCGCAAGAAACCTTCCATATCCATCTTCAAATGGGTTCGGTAAAAGATCCACGACCCATATTCCAAGACCCGACTTCAAGCTATATAAATGCATGCATAACATAAATGACTCCCTCGTACAAAACAAAGGAGAGAAAAAACAGAGAGAGAAAATCTAGAAGAAGAAGAGGGAAATCAATCAAATATCAGATAGATATATAAAAATGTCGAGACCAGGGCGCATAAGTGAAGAAACAGTTGGGATTGTATTTCAGAGAGGAGACATAGACCACGACGGAAGTCTGGACGGCGGAGAGCTCAGGCAAATCCTTGGTGTTCTTGGTTCAGACCCTGCGGGTTACGACCGTTACATGAAAATGGCTGACAGAAACAGAGACGGAAGAATCAGTCGCAGTGAACAAGACATCCTTGTTCCTAAGGTGACGAAGCCTAAAGAAGTCCGATGTAAGTAGTTGTCTGATGATATGCCAGAGCCACAGCCGATGACGGCGACTATATAGAATAAATCTTTTAAACACGCACACTCACTCTCTCACACACCCGCCTTTCCTATATGTAATCAGTGCCTGAGACTAGCTTAGGTAGTAATATATAGTAGTGAAAGAAGTACGTGGGAAGTCCAAGATTCAAATATCTTGTGATATAATAAGGGGGGGAAAATTATCTATATGGTTATTATGATTATTACGTGATATGTTTCCTTTACTTTCTTTTAACATCTTCTCGGGTGTTGATCTTTGTTCCCCCAGCTTCTTGTCCCCTGGTTATCAGTGAGTACCTCTATAATTTGTGGTTATTGTTTCAAATAGTAAAATATGGTTTCTTGTGTGTTATACACACACGCGTTTAGAAATTTCCCATGCAATGATTTCACCTTTTTTCTTAAAACACGATAAGTGGTTTCATAGTTTAATTTCATGTGTGAACGCTGTGTAGCTTTTGTACTCTTATATGTTATGTTTGAATCAGCGTGGATTTAGATTTGGGTTTATATCAAATATGTTATTTGGATGCAAGAAATTTTATGAATTGGGATTTGATCTAAACTAGTCAAACAAATTGTTTTATTACAATTTCTTTAGAATTTCAATTACCTTGTATATTCTAATTATTTCAAATTTCAATCATCATCTTGCACTACAACTCAAGCACGTGGACGAGTGACTCAAGTAGGGCAACTCATTTTTATTAGTGTGGATTTTTTATACTACCTAATAAACAAAGAATTTTAAATACTTGTATTTTAAATTTGAGATTTCAAATTCCAAATCCATCT